CCTGGCGCTGTATTATATCTTGACATTCTGCAAACTGCAAAGATGCCTACAATGAAGCAACCACATATGACTTATACTCTACTCTTCTTGATGTAATCTTGTTTCATTAACCTTAATCTGCATCATTGCCAGCTCTTCAAGGAAATTTTCTCCAATGTTAGCACACTGTATAACATTTGTCCTTTCATTTATTTTATGCAATAAACTGAGTGCAATTAGGAGCCCTCAATCCTTTGTATTCCCAGCATTTACGTAACATTTCATAAGTAGAGAGAACTCAATGAATGAACTAAAAATAAAATAGGCAGTTTTAGCAATGTAAAAAACAACTGAGTAAAAATAACCATAATTGAAATTCATTGATTCAATGTATCATGTTTTAAGATCAATTTGTGTATAATTGGAATAACATATCACTTTATCGAACCACAAAAGTTCTGATTTCTTCAGAATCCAGGACTACTTTTGGTACATTTTTAGGCTTCCAGAATTTTATTTAGAGATTTATTACTCTATAATAAATGGCAATGACAAGTATGGTATCATTGATGCTTCTCATTATTTAAATTGTGTTTTCTACATGTACTTTTTTGCACCCACAATGTGCCAGACATTAATGTTACTTTATCATTTTATTGATATTGTCAACAGACTATATTCCACCTAGTGTTCAAGTCATTTTTTGGAGGTTAGATTGGAGGCATTTTTTACTTATTCAAGCCACTAAGGATACCAGCAGTAGCAAACAACTTATATTTTACTGCTTCTGAGATTATGAAAAAGAGAATTTTGTAAAAAATACACATTATGACTATGTTCTTAAGCTCAGAAGAGCCTTCTCCATAGAATATAGTTTTTCATTATGCGAGGTGATTGGGATACAATTAGAGATTTGGTTCCTATCAACATGGATCTTTCATTCAGAATAATTGTACTTAATGAATAGGTACTTAGTTGATAACAACTTTATATATTTACTTAACCACCTTATCAAGAGCAGCTTCCATATTAGTAACTTTTTCTTTCAAACGGCGTTCCTGTGATCTCAAGACTTCTAGTTCTCCAGCCATCTTACTTTTTTCTGTAGCAACAGTATTTAATTCCTGGCTTAATTTATTCTTCTCTTCTTTCAGGAAATGTTTTTCCTATAATTATAGAGAAGAAAAAAAAAACAAAAATAATATGCTTATGTAGACTTTTTGCTGATAAGTGATGAAAATATAAAACTATTAATATTATATATAGACTTAATCTAAAGTTTACTTTTTTAAAAATGCCTTTTTTCTTGCTTCTGAGTTGGAATTGGGAGCTGCTGGAATTGTTATAAAGAACTTGTTCTAATTTATATCACTGCTAGTATTATTACTTCTTCCTAATAATATTGTCAGAAAAGGAAACAGTATTATGGTGAATTAAGGCTGAGTAAAACATACCAAATTTTATTGAACTTGTTTAAAATGACAGAAGAGATCTAAAGAAGATGGATTTATTTGAAAGTTTTTATGGGTTTCTATTTTACTTCAAGCTTAAATATTTATTTCATAAATGTTTACTGCATGCCAGCTGACATTAAAAAAATCCCACAGTTCCTGCTGTCAAGTCATTATGGTCCAATGATAAGAATGAGCTTACTGCTATGGAGTATTCAACAAGGTTGAATGAATATTCAACAAAGTTTCAATAAAATTAGTTCAGTTCTTAAAACAGCATCATGGAATAGGTAGACAAAAGTATATGGCAGTCAAGTTAAAAAAAACCATATATACATCTCTACTACTTGAAGTGCACACATATTAAATATACAGCTTTTTTTTTTTTGAATAGAGAAAATGTTTGCTATAAGCAAGATGGGATATATAATCACTCTCCTACACTTCTTGGTTGCAATTGTTTTTCTTTTTCTGTTAAGCCAAAAAGAATTTAGAAAGATGGAAGGATTAATTTTACAAGCTGTCATCTTTTTTGTTTGCAGGAATGCAATTGAGCTTGAATGAGTAACTTTCACAGGCACAGCTGATGACAGTAGACGGTAACCTGTTAATGCCCCAAGTACCCTCAGGGAGTATAAGAGCAAACTTAGATTCCAAATAGGCCAACAGTAAAGGAAGAAAAGAAATAAATTTACAATGGGGGGGGGAGAGAAATGGAAAAGAACAATAAAAAGAAGAGATAAGGAAGTCTGATGAGCTGCATGCACAAATGAATGCACAATATTTGTTAGTATTTAGTCTCATTCTAAAAAATACTTCAGCAGCTCATTTAAGGTATAAGAAAAATAGCTATTTTAGCTGCACTTAATATCTCTTACTTATGCTTTTTACTTTCTCACCTTTTTTACAGGTTGTTCTGTTACAACTCTTCTTTTGAAAATGAAAATTTGTTCCAATGTGATTGATGTATGAGAAAACATTTGAATATGACACAAATTTTACATTTGCTGATGGACAATTTCATTTCGGAGAAATACTAGCTCAATGGCACCCAGCTAAACAGAGTTACACAGGAATATACAAATACTCACACATGCATACTCCTCTAACACAGAGCCACCAGCTACCTCAGTTTACCTTGTGCTATGAACCCCAGTCATGAACATCTGGTATTACAGAAAATAAATCACAATAACTCACAAGCTGCAATCTTTTGACACACACTTCCTCAAGCTAACTCCAGATCTTTTTTAAGATAAGGGTCATACTTATTCCCATTTATATTATATTATTTATTCATTATAATGAATTATAAATATATGTTACATTTTACTAATTTTTTATTACAGAAAATATTTTAAAAGTATCTTATAATTGTATTAAAGTATTACATTAGCTAGTAATTAAACTATATCATTTATTTATTATATTATAAAAGGCTATAATTATTCATGCAGTAGTCATGTTTTTCTTAACATGTAAAACTGTGGTACCATTTTTACTGGGTTCCTATTTTTTATGTGTCACTGATGAAATTTGTTAGCTTGGTTATCCTAATTGTTACTCCCATAAGCCCAGTGGTTTTTATTGGACAATTTTGCAGGGCATAATCATTTTAGGAACACAAATGTTGTATTATATGGGAAATGACTTTGCTTTGCTTATAATCATTCCCTGTCTGTCTCAGGAATGTTCCTTTCCTGTGCCTTGCCCACTTCCGGCATTTAAAACACTAGTTCTTTCATGATCCTGCTCAAATATTTCTTCAGAAACTTTTCCTTCATTTTCTTAGGCAGAACTAATTTGTTTTCTCCACTGTACTTTGCATCTTTGCTATGTCTTGTTTTGTTTTGTAATATATTAATAAATGAACATATTAATTTCCTTCACTTAAACAAGGACTCACCTTATTTGAATTTGTCATCGCTTCTTCCAAAAATTGTATCTTGCTCTGAAGGGCATCTATCTGACCTCTTTTAGCTGTGATTTGCTTTTGCATCCCCATTGCCACTTTCATAGCTAAGGAAAAAGAAGAAGGAAGTAAACTGTGCCTTAGTTCTAAATTCTGGGAGGCTACTCTAATTTGACAGTTAAATAAAATGAGAAGGTGACAGGATCCTCCAAGGCAGTTGGGCAGTTTCAAGTTAATGATCATGCAAAAAGGTCTTCTGAGTTGACGACAATGGGATATAACAATTTTCAACAATTATTCAGAGATTTTGAGGTTAAAAAAACACACATGGATGGAGCTGGAAGGAATCATGCTCAGCGAAATAAGCCAGAAAGAAAAAGAAAAATACCGGATGGTCTCACTCATAGCAGGAATTTAGAAAACCTAAATAAGGGACCAGGAAAAAGACTAATTATAATAAAGTAAAAATCAAAATCAACAAGCAACTATAAACCAGAGACACACGGGGCGGGGGGGGGGCAAGAATTAGGGTGGGAATTGTATGGGGAATATAACCAGGATGAAAATGCATACCTTGTGCAAAAATGAAAAATGATGTAAAAGTTATATAAAATAGAATTAAAAAAATAAAAAGAATAGATAAAACTGATATGTATCTATTCACATGTACTTTATCCTTTTCTTTTTCCTGAGGACATTCCTCTTCACTCATGTTCTCAAAAAAAAAAACAACCCACACATGATGATGTCTTGTGATTTCTGTGCTACTAGAATTAATTTTACTATTGTAATTTGTCATATCAATTGTAACAGTAATACTGACCAAATTCATACAAACACATATAGGAAATACATACATAAAAAATGCATATTCACATATGAATAAATAGAAACTCATATTTAAAATACACATAAGACATCTATTTATTAGTGGTTTTTTTAAAAAGATTCCAGTGATACCACAAATTATTCAATTTTCATTCTCTAGGTTAGTGTTAAGTGCTTGGACATCACTACTGTCTCAGTAGCTCAACTGACGAGTACAAATGTGGTTATTTTTATAAAGTTGGTGATAGGGTGAGAAAGGCACTGAATACTTAAGATACTGCAGGTCACTGAAAAGATACACAACTTCTTATTTTAAGCTGATTTTTTTAAAAGATTTTTTTATTTATTTATACAAGCACTGGGTACAGTCAGAAGCGTGGGAGGGTGAGAGAATCCACCAGAGCCAGAGTGGGGAACAGAACAGGCAGACTGACAAAACACACTACTGAGGGGAGCAGCAGGTGGGGCAGGAGAGGTCTGCCCACCATGTGAGACCCCTACCAGCAGCCCCGGAGATGGAACCAGCGCTGCAGAGGCTGCGGACAGCTTCGCAGCCCAGCGCTCAACTGCTGTGCCACCAGGGGAGGCCCTTTAAGCTGATTTTAATCAATGAAAAATAAACATTTGAATGCACATATAGGATTACTTAGTTAATGTAATGATTAACTTGACTGGGGCAGATATGGAGATGTCTAGAGGGCATTAAGAAAGGGACTGTCTGGTGAATAGAGAGAGCAAGTTCAAATGGGCCTCTTGAGCAACTTCCCCAAATCCTACCATTTTCTTGGTATTAACTAGCAATGTAAGATCTGGAGCTGGACCTCCAAGACGAAAATATGGATTGTTTCAATATTCTGCATGCCATCTTTGTGCAGGGTCCATGATAATCTTCTCTGTATTGGGACAATTTTAATATATGTGCTGCTAAAGTGAGCACAAAAAAAAATCTTTTGATATTAAAAATTATTAACAGAAGGTAGACTTTAGAAAAATAATTTTAGAGTCAGTTAATATAGCAACAATGATAGAATATGAAATTATGAAGTAGCTTCTTCTGTATGCACATGGACAACAATGTAAACAAGGATAGATCTAAGTATGAGAAGGGACTCTCATCCTAGCAGTTCAATTCTCTGGGTTCTTCCTTTTTTACCACAAGAAAGGAATCAGGAACTGCCACTTAGCTAGCTGCAGATAATTTATTGTAGATAATGAATGTTTGACAAATAAGGGGCTGAAAGTTATCTGTAATTTGCATTTATATCAACACTTCCTTAAAAAAAAAAAATTGACATTTGCAGGGCCTGACTGGTGGTGCAAGGGCTTAAGTCTCAATACTATGATGCTATTAGCAGCCACTGCAGCAAGAGTTTGATGCCCGGCCAGGAAGCTGACCCACAGGGCACAGCAGACCTCTCTTGTCTCTCCCACTGCTCCCCTCAGCAGTGTATTTCAGTAGATCTGCCTGTTCTGCTCCCCACTCTGTCTCTGGTGAATTCTCTCACCTCCTGCACCTCTGGCCTACACCCCAGTTCTTGGATGCATAAATAAAAAATCAATCTAAAAAAACCTAGCATTTGCAACATTGAAATCTTTTAGAAATTACTGAAATAGCTACAAGAAAAGAAATATTTGGACATGTTAAGGACTAAAGCATGGGACTATTTATTCTGAAAAGGTTTAGTAGAACTATTGCTGTAACACCCAGTATTGACACTACTGCTGTGTATGTCTTACATCGTGTGGCACTGGGAAGAGGTACAGGCTACGTATCTAGGTTTGTGTTTAATAAATCTAGACCAATGGGATTAAAGCAACAACAACAAAGGAATAAAGCCTACCATGACCATCAGATCCTTCCATTGATTTTAATGTATTTCTTGTTTGTTCTAGTTCAGACTGTGCAGATTTTAATTGCATTTTCAGCTTATTTGTAGTAGTTTCCATTTCTTCACTTTTGTTTCGAAAATTCCTTTTTAAAACTTCGTAGTCTTCTGTACAACGTGATAATAATAAATGGTTACTTTTCCTTCATTTGTATGAAGTATACTTCATTTATAATTAATGATCATAAAATTTTAGAGCAGGAAGAGACTTCCTTTAGTTTGAGTGTCACATGCTAAGATATTAAATGTATACAGACATTTCCAGGGATTTGACTCTCTAGTTTTAACCTGCTTGGTCAGCTCCTTCTCCTCCACCACTTATCATTCACTGCTTTCCCCTATGCTCCCCCCCAGCCAGTTGGCCCATATCTATTTCATCTTAAACTTTTTTGGATGATCACAGCCAATACAACAAATTTAACCACCTCTATACATAGATGATTCTTCATGACATGACAGGTAACCCCAGACCGCTACGCATCTTATCTTACTATTTATCTCCAGTAGTTATCAAAACACCTGGAATGAACTCACCATTTGCATACAAGAATAATACATACTTATTCAACTACTGTTTAATCATATTTATATACAATAAATAGATTTTCATATACAAAGAACCAAGACCTTGTTGCCAAGATCTAACTCTGCCTAACCAGAAATTTCCACACTATCTATATCCCATCCCCCTGCACTCAAGCCTGACTTCTCAGCTCCCCTCTCTCAAGTTGTTGATATCCTTGTTTTCCCAATACTGCAACTTAAAACCTGAAATCCAAGTCCTCCGATCACTAAGCATTATTGATTCTCAATAAATATTCTAATTCTTCTTTCTCCTCTCATTTTCCTTGCCAGTGCCTTAGCTCTGGTACTCATCATATTTCTCTAGGACCACTGCAGAATCCTAACTGGCTGGATTCTGTCCCTTTGGTCTTGCCTTTCTCTATTTACCTGCTGACACCATCCCTCTCGTACTTAATAGCTTCTGTTGGCTCCATGATGTCTGGTTCTACCTATCTATTCTGCCTTATTCCTTGGCCCTCATTCCTTTTTGCATTTTTACTCCAACCGATACTTCTGAGGTCACATTATGTTACATCCTGCCTTTATGCTTTTGTCCATAATGTTCTCTCTGCCTGGATTGCTCTTCCATATCTTTTTATGTGCTAAATTCCTTTTCCCCCTTAAAACCTAGTAGACCTGCAAACCCTGTAGAACCTCCTTCAAGCCTGCACCCAGCACATGTCACTGTGCCTCATCCACTGGTAAGTCATTCCATACAGGTCTCTCTCCCAGCTAGCTGGGAGCCTTACTGATGTGTTTGTGGGGCCTTCGTAGCATCTGCCATAGTAAATGGTCAGGATTCTGTGTTTGTGTAAAATAAATGACACTTGTACATATTAATTGTGGACTAGAAATGATTCACTTTAAAATTAAGGTCCTAAATTTTAGGTTTTTCCTTTCAATAAATTTACAAAGCCTGTTTGCATATTTTGCTTCATTATTAAACTTTCAATCAAGTATTCTCATGCAAAGGACTCAAGTTTCCACTTCTCTCACCCTTTTCTCAGAAACTCAGTAGAGGATGTGATAACTCTGAGGGATAATAAAAGATAATGGTTAATGAGTGCAATATATGAATGTTCTTCATGAAGAACTGTTGAGATTTCATTCCATAAATAGGTCCACTGGGGCAGCACGTTCTCCGTATTTGTAAAGTGGGATGAGGAACTGCTCTTTCACAACAGTTCTGGTACCCACACTGGACGACACTATCAGCACTCCTATGTTTTAGCAGAATTTGAACTGAAGCAACTTACCTGTAAGACTGTTTAATTCATTCCTACTAGCTTTCACCTCATTTAACAATTGATCTCTCTCATGCTTGATGTCCTTCACTGCACGAAGACGCTCGGAGCCTGCATTCACCAGCTTTACCTTTTCCAGTTCCAGGTCACTCACTCTGGCCTCAAGCTCCCGAATCTTTGCATCTTTTTTATCTTTTAAAATCTATAAAGTGAACAGATAGAGTAAAACATACAAATTCTGTACATAGTTATAATTAGCAATGTATTAGAATTCTCTCAATCATCAAAATCTCTCCACTATTTCCCAGATGTAGAGGTCAGGAATGGACACAGTGCAGGTTTTCTGATCCAGCAGACTGGGTAAAGGAGGAGTCAGAGTCCTCAGTGGTTTTTTGCAGGTCTTTTATTGGGATTACCAGGTACACGGCAGGCAGGGGTGCTGGGGAGCTGGGCAGCTGGCAGGCCTCCCAGCCCCCAGCAAGTCTTCACTCTATCTGGGTTCTCTGGTGTTCTCGGCTTCTGTTTGTTCTCGGCTTCTTGGCTTCTCCTGGCGTCCCCGTGACGCCGCCCTTAAAAGCCCAGTCTCAGCCCAGGTGAATCCCATCTACCTATGCCCACACCCTACTCCAGGTGCCCGCCATCAGGCATGCATTCAGGACCGCAAGGATCCATCATCTCTCCTGATGGCGGGAGGGCAGAAAAGCCTGACATTTTTCCTTACCCTACACCAGGATATTAAATATGCATTTCCTTATAAAGCATCAACCATTAGGAAGCGGGAAAACAAAAGGAATATTTTAGTTAACCTATTTTTTAAAGATTTATTTATTTATGCACACAAGGACTGGGGTACAGGTCAGAGGTGTGGGGGGTGAGAGGATTCACCAGAGATGGAGCGGGGAACAGAACAGGCAGATTGACTGAAATACACTGAGGGGAGCAGTGGGTGAGATAGGAGAGGTCTGCTTTGCCATGTGGGTGTCTCCCTGGCCGGGGATCGAACTCCATGCTTCAGTGGCTGCGATAGCTTCATAGGCTGTTCTTAACCCTTTATGCTACCAGGGAGGCCCCTTTAGTTATCTTTTAACCATAAATGTTAATCTCCAGTAGCATTTGCCACAGCCCTTTGTCATTCCTATTCTATATATCCACTTATTCAAAAAGCAGTATCTATGGAGTTCCAACTTCATATGTTGCGAACTGAGCAGCAGAGTGGGGGCTGGGCAAGTAAGCACTAGGTGGTGCCTCTTCTGCCCTGGGCACCTCACCCTTATCCTTCCCTGGCCTTATACAGCAGTAAATAATCAGTGTTTTTATTCTCATGGCGTTCACATTCTGGTGAGAGGAGACAGTTAATAAGAGAAATATTTCATAGTTACTAAGTGAGAAAAAGGAAATCAGCAAGGGGATAAAGAAAGAATGCAGGGGAGAGGCTATTACTTGAGGTAAATTGGTACGTGGGAATGAGCCTGAGCCAAATGCCACCCTTATTAAAGTCTGATAGCCAGGCTGGTCCTTGGCCGGTATCAGGGAACTTGGATCTGGGGAGAGTTCTCAAGTACTCTAACTGATAAGAGTAACCCACTGTGCTAAACTGTTTTTACAAACAAAATTATTTATGCTGAACACCTGCTTTCCCTCAGGAAGAACAGAGGATCTGCCAGGCAAGGGGAGACTACGTGAACTGCCTCCGAATAAAAGCCCTGGGTATGGAGTCTTTAATGAGCTTTCCTGGCTGACAACATTTGATGCGTATTGTCAAAATGCACCGGGCAATCCTGCATGAGGCTGTGAGGAGAGGGTTCTTGGAGATTTGTGCCTGTTTTCCTCCTTGCGCTATTTTCCTCCTTGCACTATTTCCCTTTGCTGATTTTGCTTTATATTCTTTCACTGTAATGAATCCTATCGATAAGCACGACTCTATGCTGAGTCCTGGGAGTCCTCCTAGGGAATAAGCGAACCTAGGGGTGGCTTTGGGGACCCTCACACAATTGGTCAGAAGAAGCTTCCGGTGAGCAGAAATCTTTAAGAATTGAGGGAGCAAGCAAGGTATGTGGCAATCTAGGGGACAGCTCTAGGCACAGGTCATGTGTGCAGGCACAGCAAGACCATCAGACTGGCTGGTGGAGACCCCCAAATATGACTCTTTTACATAAGGATTATTTGAGTTAATTTGAGAAACAGTAATTTGAAAACAGAGTAGAAATTACCCTTTAAGAGAAATTTACATTTATAACAGAGGT